TTCTATGTATTTGTCTTGACAATGTTTAAAGACAGAAGCTAATCACAAGTAATTATTTTCCCTGAGCACGTACCCTGCCAACACTTAATTAAAACCTACATATCTAGGAGGATGTCACTCGGGGCATAGCTCTGTTGCTCCTTGACTCGAAGCGCAGGAGCAGGAGATGCCGCAGCATCTCTGGCTGTCAGGGATGGGAAGCTGCTGCCACGGGGATGGCTCAGCCCAGCCAAGAGCACAAAGAAAAGTTGTTTTTCATGTCGGTTTGGCTTTCTTGCACAAAAACTGCAGAAGGTAGGGCAAGAACGTGCCCCAGGGATCTCACAATATCTACTTTAAAAGTAGATTTCCAGTAAAAATTAATAAATAAGAGTGGGCAACTGAATTGCTATGAATTTTAAAAGTCGTATCATCACAAATTGGATGGCTTGTGCAAGAATTTGGCAGAAGAAATAAATGACCTCGAGTGCTCAGGACAAAGACATGGCCTGAATTGTCAGATTGACTGTATAATTATGTGCTGCCTGTTTGTGGGAAAACACATTGTCCCAGCTGGAGAGCAGCTTTAAAAAATGCTGGAGAGATGAACGTGCACCCCTAAAGCTTGGAAATTTGGGTTGTTTTAAAAGCATAAGACCTCAAGCAAGAATGAGACTTTTGTGCTGCTTCTATTGCATGGAGAGCTGCTCAAGTGTGAGAGGGCAGTAATGCAGCTGTGAGACAGAGCACTTATGTTTTTAATCAAAACACTATTAAGCATTAATACTATATTTGAGCATCCTTTCTGCTTATTACAAATACAGTATAAATGGTAAATGTTGCATATAACACCTTATTTAGTGAAATCCTGACAGGTGAACAGTGCCATGGAAGAGCATTGCCTCTTCAATGATTCGGGTGCGATCCTGTGGTGCCCTGGATGGGGCAGAGCTGAAGGTGTCCATCCTTTGCTTTGCAGGTGATCCGTTCTGCTGCTGACTGGTCGGCTGGCATTAAATACCACGAGGAGTCCATCCACAACGCCTACGTCAGCGTGATAGAGAACAGCAAGCACTACATTTACATTGAAGTGAGTGGCAAGGAGGGAAAGCAGTGGGGTCCTGATGCGCAGGGCTGGGCTCGCAGCCTTTAGGAGGGTACTTCTTGAGGTTTGGTCTAAATATTTTGTGAATGTAGACACATATGGTTATTAATACAGCATCCACTCTGAATTTTTGGAGCTGTTCCCATTGACTTCAGCAGTCGCTGGACCAGGCTGAAGGGTATGTACCCTGATAGCCTTCTGACCACAAGGTGGAAAAAAGTAGACCTTTTCTTTCTGAGCCTCTTTGCAAAATTGCCAGCAACTTTCATGTCCTGTGCAAGAGTCTTCCTGTTGCCTCCATGGCTTTGCAGTGTCCCAAGTGCATGCCCAAACCTCCTGTGCACGGGGCTGGTCTGGCATCCATACAGCCTGGAGCTGCAGGCATCTCCTGTGTCGGAGCGAATCAGCACTGGCTGAATGGAGACGTTTATTCTCCTCTTTTTCTGTTTTTTAACTTTCTAAGGTGTGTGATTAATAAGAACTAATTAATCCCATAAGCAAGCACAGACACATAATGTAATAGTAATTTTTAAAAAAGTATCCACTCAAATGGCACATAAACCCAGCTATCTTTAGTTGCTCTTGGTCTGAAATAAAGCATGCAAATTTAATTTTTTTTTGTTCATCACTGGCAGTGTCTGACAGCAGCTTTGCTTGCTTTTCCTGCAGAACCAGTTTTTTATTAGCTGTGCTGATGACAAAGTTGTCTGGAACAAGATCGGCGATGCGATTGCTCAGAGGATTCTTAAAGCTCACAGGTAACCAGTTCTTAACATGAGATTGAAAGTCTTCCAGTGGTATTTATATCATGTGATGTAAAATAGTATCTTAATTAACACAACTATACAATAGCTTTTGCAACATGGAATTGATGTGGTCAAACATCTGCTTGTGTCTGCAGCAGTGAGACTCTTTAGTGCAGTCAGAAAGTGATTTTCTGTACTTAACCTGGATGCAGATGTATTTTTAACCATGGAATTTGTTTAAAAGCAATTCCGTTATGCTCTGGTTCAGTGACACCTTTGCTCCATAGCCAACCAGTCTTGCACTGCGTGGTGAGGTGAGTTAACACCTGAGGTTGAACTGGGACTTCTGGTTTATTTAAATTATCTATAGAGAGGATTGACTTCAAATAAGAGAAGCAAACACATTTGAAGATTAAACTGCAGGGTTCAACTATTGCTTGAACAACTTTTTCTGGCAAGTGCTAAGGGGGTATTTACAACCTCCAGCCATTGGAGGAGACCATCATTTGTTCCGGGATGGATCAACCCCAGCCATGCTTTAGACACTCCTTTCCTTCAGCATGCCTGACCCCATGCTGACATTAATACCACAGGCAGTGGCTTATCTTCACTTTGATCCTGCACAGCCTTGCTTGAGGTTGCTCTCCTGAAGTCGATCTTTAAGATACCTGTATGTCATGGTCTAATACTGTAGTCTGCTCTTGCTGGGCTGATAGAAAACTTTCCGAAGTTACTCTTTTAATCTCTACATGTCAGAGATAACATCTTTACTTTTTCATCATGCACAGAGACATTTCTTGCAATGATTATTTCTTCCACATTGTAGTTGTCCAGACCTATGTTGGGGCTGCTTTCCCAGATGTGCTCTCTCCGGAGTTGCAGAAATTTCACTCTCTTCGACATTTCAGCTTGGAAATACCCACTTGTGTAAAGGCAACCAAGCCAGGACAGACAGACAGGCAGACATGGGTAGGGGCAGTGTCTGCAGGGCCACAGGAGCTGCCCTGAGACAGGCTTTGTTCAGAGGCAGTGTGGGAAGAAGAGGCCTATTCAAACTGGGAAAGCATGGGTCTTATCTGCCATGCCATTAACTACAGGACAGAGAGACAGGGTGGAGCTGCTTGTAATCGATAAGCTGCAGTGCATAGCCCAAATATTTGAAATTAGCTAAGGATGAAAGGCTGGGGCGGATTTCCTCACCCAGAGTAACTGAGGAGCGGTGCCAGTGCTGTGCGAGGTAAGAATCACAGAAAAAGCAGCGTAATACAGCACGAGTCCTGCAATTCAACCACGCACCAGGGACAGGCCTGCCTGAACAGCACAGCCTGTGCCAGGGCTGAGGTGCAGGCAAGCAGCTGGAAATGGCATTGCTGGTGTTTGCATTGCAGCCTCAGAGCTGGCTCGCAGTACACAGTGTCTGTGCAGTGTCCCCCTGCCCTGCATTGCCTTTGGGAACTGAGTGCCGCGGGCCCTTTGCATCAGTTTCCCTACTGCTAGCAACACTACTGAGGTAGCAGCAGATTCTCCAGGTAATCTGTTAAGATTATCCTGTTATATAAAATTCATATAAAGGGTGTCGTTCTGTCCAGACATCAAAAAATCTAGCACAAAAATGAGTTGCACAAATTCTTCAGTGACCCGTTTTCAGATGTGATGCTCACTTCTGTATTACTTTAATTTTATGCCAGTGTTGTGCCAGCTTAGTGTCACTAACTGAATGTAAGATTCAAATTCTGGACACTCCAGAGTGCTTGGCATTGCCTAAGATTAAAAGTAAATTCAGACCTAAATGGTTTGTATCAAATACTCATGTACCAACCTGCCCCTGGAAAACAGCGTAGGTGACACACAGATGTTTAATTGTACATTAAGTTCTTTAGTTAAGCTTGTATACTTCTCACTCTTCTAGACTAAATATTTTCTACTGATGTAATTAATAACATTCTTTTCTTGGTTTTCCTCTTTTTTTCATGGGTGGCTCTTTAACTAATTTAATAAACACTGGGCTTAGACAAACAAGCTGCTTTTTGAGGAATGCTTTTGTTGGTAGATCTTTCTCATGATATGAACAGGCTTTGTTTTGGAGTCTCTTGTATATGGGTAAGACCTCATTGACTGTTTCTGAGGTCTGCTGTTGGACTAAAGCTAGCGTACGGTGCATAGCACAGCTATAAGGAAGCACTGGTTGAAATTAAAGAAAGACAGGTCCTCGGTGTCTCCCTCCCAGATCAGACGAGACCCCAGCTCTTCACAGTTCCTGTGCCCTTAAACCCACAGGCACGACTTGTTCAAGGAAGGAATACTTTTAACAAAAACCGCAGGCTCGTTTATTTTCAGGCTGCTCCTGGAATGGTTTGTCCTGATTAAAGTGTGTTTGCCATCTAGTGGCAGCTCCCTTCAATGGAGCATCCTTGGCACAGGGCAGGGGACTGCCAGCACCCAGGGGTGCCTGGAAAGCGCTGGCAGACCAGATGTGCCTGGCATTTGTCAGCAAAGAAAACCCAAAGGTGGGCTTTAGGAAAATCCCCTGGCAGTGCCATGATGGGAGCTTTTGTTCTGAATCGGATCACGGTTAGGGTTTGCTTTAGTTTGGGGGAACTCTGGAGTGGAGTTTTTGTGGGTTGTGCTGCGTCAGTGCAATATTTGAACCATCGATGTTTTACTTGTGCCCGGAGCTTTTCCCACCTTTTGTGATGTTTCTGATTTCTAAAATTCAGGATGTAGTGGGAATGTCAGGTTAGATTTCAGTGTTCTGCCTGTGATAGCTCTCTAATCTTCGCAGTGCTCTACAGGGCAGTAGTACACACCAGTCTGCACCAGTATCCATGTGACTGGGCTGTCGGGGTGCTCAGATGAACTTTTACAGTGACAGACACAATCAGCAAAGCAATTAACCTGTCCTTGCACGTCAGTGAAAATGTGTTTATTTTCCTTTTAACTTCTGTTGTCTGCAGAGAGTAAATTATTCCTTCTCGCCCTGAAGGTCTGAGCACTGGCTGAAGTACTGATGACAGGTGATGAAGACCTGAAACTGGAAATATGCTTCACACTTTTGCTCCCTTAAGATCTGTGTAGTAGCCTTGGATGGAAACCAAGTCAGGCAGCACAGAGGAAGGGAAAGCCAGGGAACTCATTTTCTACAAAACTGTAACATTTGCAGGCTAATATTCCCCCAAACTATCATTTCAGGGAAAACAAGCGTTTCCGAGTGTACGTGGTGATCCCACTGCTGCCTGGGTTTGAAGGTGACATTTCGACTGGCGGGGGGAACGCGCTGCAGGCCATAATGCACTTCAACTACAGGTACCAGAGCAGAGACCTCCCTACTCCCCTCCACCTGCTGTGAACAGTACCCGAGGCTCCAGCTGCCAGCTTTGGGGCATCACACTCCACGTTGTTCACATAAGCACACGGGTTTGGAAAGAGAGAGGAAAACTGTTCGTGTGGCTTTCACTTAGCACTTCAGCTTGTTTATTTGCTAGCCTTGGGATTTGCATTAGGAGACACTCGCGGGGCACTCACAACCCAGTGGATCTCATGGGAAGGGCTGGGACACAGCGGTGCCAGGTGGCCCTGTGCTGACAGTGGGACATAAAGGAAAGCAAAATGGCCCAAGATGAGGTGGTTTTGCTGGAAAGCTGCTGTACTGTGGTATGGCCAGGGCACAGTCAATCTGCAGAGACTGCTGCTACCTCCAGAGTGAAGTCTCCCTGGTCTGCAGGTGTCCTACTGCACCTCCAGAGGAAGAGTGGGGCTGGAGGTGCAAGCAGAAGGAATTTCCCAAACCAGGCCCTTCTGCCTGAGCTTTCTTCTGCAAAGGCAACCATAGGTCTTTAGAAATCACCCATGTTGATGTGGGTTATTTTTTGTTTGGCTTTTGTTTTTTTTGAATGAGATACTGGCTGTGGCTTTTCCAGCCCAGCTGTAATTGTGCTAACTCCCTGACCTGTCATTCTGCACAGGTTGACTTTTTTTTCTTAATGTGATTTCACATCCAGACGTGTGGCACAGACGGTAGCAGCCCTGTTTGTAACACATTTATCATCACTGTGGTGTGCTCTAGGAGGCAAAAATGCTGCCCAGCTCCTACACAAATTGGTATGAGCTCCTTTGGGAAATGAGTAGTCCTTGATATATTGACAGTCGTTTGGGGAAAATGTGTGCTCTGGAAGGACTGTGTTTCTTCTGCTTGCATGGGGTACTTAAAAGGCATCTGTGTTTGCAGTTTACCTCACCCGCTTCTGCTTCAGCATATGCTGCTGCCTTGAGTGGTGGTGGTGCTGACGGCTGCCTACCTTCTTTCCAGGACCATGTGTCGAGGAGAAAACTCCATCCTGGGCCAGCTGAAGACAGAGGGTAAGAGCATTATTCCTCTTCTCCGTTGTTTAGTCTTGGGATGCTGCTGTTCCATGGATACACCTATAACACAGAAATCACATTATTCAGCTTCTTATCAATATGAGCTTGCTGTAGCTGAGGGGTTCAGGCGTGGACTGGATTCGGGCATCAGCAGCAACATGTGCTGCGGGCTCATGGGGCTGGAGAGCGAGGTCTGTGGGGTCACGCGAGCCTTGGCCGGGTGTCAGACTTTGCGCTTGGATGCAGCCCGGATCCAGAGGATGAGAGGACCCCAGGGAGGAGCACGGTGTGGTTGCAGCTGCTCAGGATCGTGTTATTTGGAAAACATCCTGAGCGGGGTCATGCTTCTGGGAGTAATGAGCTCTCTGCCTGTCCCCCACCCCCATGAATCCCATTCTGGGTTTGTTTCAAACACAGGGAAAACCTGCGGAAGCAGGATGCTATTTGTGAGTTATTTCCTTGCCATGAGGATGCCTGCTTGAATTTGCTCTTCTGGGAATCAGAGCACCGCAAAACCCACATATCGTAAATGCTAGGGCGTCCGTAATGCCTCGTTCATTCTAGGTCTTTGTGTAAATCTGAACTGTGGACAAGTACGTTAGGACACGTTTTCTGTACCGTGCATGGACAAAACACCTGCTTCCAGCCTCCTTTCTGCAGGATCTGCAGAAAAACAGTCGTGTAGTCCAGTTATTTTAAGATGTTCATATCAATTGTGAGTGCTTGTGTGCTGCACAAGGGAGATTTGGGTCATTTTTCATGAAAGTGGAAGTATCCAAGCAGGCAGCGGATCAGAGCCCACAGGCAGCTTTAAAGTCCATTTTTATAGAAACTTGTTTGTTTGTTGGTTTTTTTTAAGTCAGAAGTGAGCTATTACTCACATGGGTCTTTATATAAAGAGGGTCTTTTCATCTGTCTTCTCTCTTCCACCTCTCTCATCCCATCGTATTTGTTGTCTTTTAATTTTCAGTGGGAGATAAGTGGATAAACTACATCTCCTTCTGTGGACTTCGAACATATGCAGAGTTGGAAGGAAAACTGGTGACGGAGCTCATCTATGTTCACAGCAAACTGCTTATTGCTGATGACAACACAGTTATAATTGGTGAGCAGGGGGGTGCAGGAGGGTTTTGGAGCACTCCATTACACCTGGATCAGTCTCTTCACTTCTCTGCCCTGTACTCAGTGCAGGCTGCAGTGCTCTTGTGCTTTTTATGTTGTGATTTCTGTCTCATGAAATATTTTGGTGTTTAAAAAAAAAACCAAAACAAACTCATAAATTCATCAGGAGGGTAGGTAGGAGGGAGGAAAGGATTTGGAGGGCTGTCAATTAATTTGTTTTTCTAAAATAGTTTTAAATCTCTGTGTGACAGTGAAGAGAATCCCAGTGCAGGGAATTTTGTCCATCTGTCTTGTATCAAACTCTGCTCTAGCAGGAAGACTTGTGAGACTTGTCATCTGTTCCTTAAAGAACAGAATGTGCTGTAAAATTTGGAAAGTTTGGACAACATGTGTCATTTATCAGCTAAATTTCCTAAGAATGGGGAAATATGTTATAACTTGTAATAGGTATAATTTCATCCATTTCTTTTACCGTATTTCTTATGAGACCACGAAGCAAAGACAAGGCATTAAGCTCAGAGTTCTACATTGCAGCAGAAAAACAGAATTTTAGCTTTTTTCTTAAAAAAACCCTTTTCAATCTGTTATATCAGCAATGAAAACTTTGCCAAAGAATAACTTGATACAAGATTTTGCAAGACTCAAAATACGCCCCTCCTTCAGAGCAGCAGTTGATCCTGGATGACCTGCGGTCAGGTTTGCTCCTCTGTTACCCTCTCAGGGGACAGATCCTATCTCCAGTACACAGCAGCCCAGGGATGGTTTTACTATCACAGCAGGAGCAGTGCTGTTGCAACTGATGATTTGGAAGCCTGAGACAGCTCTTAATTTCTGTTTTCTGTACCTATAAGCCTGAGGTCTGATTTTTATACTGCATTGTGTTTCCATGCTGGCTGGTGAGGTGATGGGGAGCCAGTGCCATCCCTTTTCTACAGGGACAGTACATGGAAATCAAATGCTAATGAGGCCACCATGCAGGAGGACGGATGTGAAAGGATGGAGAGGAACTTGGCTCATTTTTCCTCTGGAGATGTTAGCTCCCCTTGATCAATTCAGACACTGGGAAGGCCAAATGGCTGACTGGTGCCTGGGGGTCTCTTACGGAGCTGGGGGCTATGTCTGGAGATTTTTTGTTGTTGTTGCTGTTGTTTGGTCACTTCTGTGGGTTAATGACATGATAACTCTTATCACTGGCTGCATCTTGCTGTTTCCCTGGAGCCCATGCAGAGGGCATGGAGTAGTGAAGAAACATCTCCCATGGCGGGAGGGTCCCCCAGAGCCCTAGGGTCTGCTGCTGCCTTGCTGAGTTAGGAGGGATGGTGCCTGAGCTCTTGCATCTGCCAACACAAAAGCGTGGTCCTGGCAGGACAGGAGGCTCTGGCTGTTGGTTACCCATGGCAAGGAGATGACCTTCTTCTTCCTAGATCCCCCTCCCATAAAAACCCTACCTTTCAAATGGAAACAAAAAACTTCCCTTCTTTACATCGCTTTAGATAGGAGTGGATTTACCCATGGAGCCCATCCTGTGTCAGGTAACTTGGTACCCAAACCAAGTGCGGTGAAGATCTTTGAAAACTGTGGCATCCTTCAGCAAAAGTATCTGGGAAATTACAGAGGGAGTGAACTGTTGAAAATGTTGGCCTGGGCTTGGCTATGATTTAACCATCTTCCAAGCCTGGAGCTTTTGAAAAATTAGTTTGGTTTTATTCCCTCCTTCGTTTTCCCCCTCACCAGGCTCTGCCAACATCAACGACCGCAGCATGCTGGGGAAGCGGGACAGCGAGATTGCCATCATCGTGCAGGACACCGAGACCGTCCCCTCCATGATGGATGGGGCAGAATACAGCGCTGGGAAGTTTGCCCTGTCCCTCCGGCTGCGGTGCTTCAGGTGGGATGTGCAGGGCTGGCCCAGCACGGGCAGGAAT